CTTAAAAGTCAGAAAATTAGCCAACTGTTCTAACCTCCTGTCTCACTGAAAATGGGAGTATGTCAACATGATACACGTGCACTCTAGTAGGTAGTCGTATTAGCAAACCAACACCAGTACGAAATCAGATGGTCGTGTATATGCTTGATCCATTGCGACCTCTATTAATTACCAAAGACCTATAAGTTGCGTACTTATTGTTAGATTATTGATTTAACGTAGTTCCTATAGCTTAGAAACGTGTGTTTGCTTAGTTGATTAATTCAAATATTCAATTGTAGTGGCACAGTTTTAGACCTAAGTATTAGTTTTCCGTTCATACGATCATAGGTTGTGGAGATCATGAAGATAATGGGTTAAACTTAAAATTAAATTATTATTAAATTTCGGGGTAAATCGAGTTTCAAGTTGTAGCTCTAATTAGTTAGCCGTTATATATATATATATATATATATATATATATATATATATAATCCGGCATGCAATATGTTTAGATTGAATGCACGTTTATTTTCTTTCCTCTCTCTCATCTTTCTTTATATTTTCAACCGTTATAAGTTTATAACCTATATTGTCTTGCTACAAATAATCTTACCCTTTATAAGATCACAGAACAATACAATAACGAATAACAAAAATTAACAAGAAGATTCATCATTAATCACCTAAATCATCACTATGTTTTGCAATAACAATATATATAAAAGATCTAAATCAAAATACACATACATTATGATGTCAAATATTTGGCAAGTTTGATCCTTTTAAAAAAAGGAAATAATACAACAACCCGATGCTAAAATAATCACATTATATTTGTCCCATCAAACGAAGATCATATTACATGAACCTTCAAATATAAAAAACTTACAAGTCATAAGGTTGCTTGCCAGTAAACTTAACCTCAATAGGGCTAACATTCTTACCAATTGACCTCATGTTTTGACCAACACCCTGTCTACCAGGGTTAACCTTTTCAGGGTAAACCCCATCTTTTGGGTGCAAATATTGAACCTCTCCATTTGGAAATACCCTGTAAAATTGGTACTTTATCTTGTACTTTGATCTTAGCCTTGTTCCAAGTGCTAAACATTGCTCTTTACGAGCCAATTTCAGCAAGTTTGGTCCTTCCCTCATAATTGCTGCACCACCTGTTGGCATTTCGAAGATTTGCTCCTTTGGTGATTCCCATGTGATCACGTAAAATTCCTCTACTTGCGCCTTCCTCAATAACCCACCTGTGCGTTAAATAACAATAACTAGTGAGTGTCCCAGACGATGCACCAAGTGTTATATTACATGTCTTAATCACAACACGAGTAACTTAATACTCGCGACACACCCTCATCATTTTTTTTAATTAAAAACTAGTGAGTGTCCCGGACAATGCTTACACATTACTAACACGAGTAGATATTATATTCTCAATACCTGTGCTACCGGCGAAGATTGGAGAAGGGGTGTTAGGGTCTAATTCCGGAGGTGTGAAACCTTTGGGTGCCTCAGCTGCGGTCTCGGTAGTCTCGGCTGCTTTGCCTTCAGCAGCGGCTGCACGGATGGAGAGGCGGGAGGCGGGTTTGGAGGCGAAGGAGAGAGCAGAGGGTTGTTTGAAAGAGGAGGTGAGGCGGGGATCGATGGTTTTAGCGGAGGAAAGGGAGGATGGGGAGAAGAGTGTGGCTTGGGTTGCCATGGCCATATTGTTTGTTTGGATTGGTGGATGTGGAGGGAGTGTGGAGAAGAAAGAAGGGATATGAATAAGTGTAGGAGTTTTGATGGATGTAAGAGGGTTGAGTTTTGGATAAGGGTACTTGTGTTAGACCAATTAGATAGCTTGTATTTATTGATTTTTGATACTGAGGGCCCGATTGCCTTAGCTTACTTACAACCACAACTACATTTTTGTTTATTTTACTGTTTTCCATCTAGATTTTCCTTAGTATCTCTCACTATGTCAAATACTTTTTGACATTTATCAATGTCCGATACTAACCTTTCATATCTTTAAACATGTAGTAATTATAACATTATAAACATTATATCATATGTGTCAAAAATACGAAGTGTATATATTAAGATAAATCTAATAATACCTGATATAACTATATTATTCATTATGTGTAATTAGAGAGGTGATAAATAATTCGGGCTGGACTGAACCTTAATATCATATCTTATACCAAAACTCGTAAAAAGCAATATATATAAGCTGGATCGCGTCCAGTCAAAGCTAGTAGGTCCCGCGACTAGAAATGAACATTTACTAAAACAAAAATGGACATTTTCTAACTGAACATATTTTACAATTTTGTTCATTAAGAAAATCAATACATGTTTATTCTCATATGTTTTATGTTCACTTGTGAATAATTTACTATTGAAGAGTATATTAATGATGTTCAGGTTAATATTAGCAAAATGGTCACAATCATAAAACTATATGTTTATCTGTATATCACGTTAATAAAAAAAAGTTATTTATTTATTTCAATTTTCAAAAATATGAAATTACATGTTCATTTGTATTACGGATATTTTGTATTTCTCAATAAGTAAATGTTCATCTTCATGCAGTATCAGTATGATGTTCATTCTTATAAAAAAAAAAAGGTTCATTTTCATGCAGTATGATTTCGCTTGAAGCTTAAAAAAATGTTGATGAGTAAGCAACAACATTATATATGCATTTTATTTACAAGTGAAATGTTCAATTATATAATATTAGATGTACAATCTTTTTTTTTTTTTTTTTTAGTTTCATAGTGACTTTATTTTACTCTTATATTATAAATGTTCATTTTTATATATTGCAATGTTAATTTAAAGTTTTAGATATTTCTTTCTTTTGATTTGGAATTCATTTTTCATAAAAAGAAAAAAAAAAAAGTTGTTCATTGTTATTTAACGAAATATTGATCTCAATTTTTTGATATACATTTGCAGGTTCAATGTTACTTTTCAAATATATTCAATTAGGAAAAATTGTTGGAAATAATCCCACCTTTGAGACGTCCGCGAAAAATAATCTCACATTTGGGATATTTTTAAATAATCTCACCTTTATACCCAATCTAATGGTCCCGGGTGACCAGTAACCGGTTGAAGAGGTTATTTTTTTTATTAAATTTAATTTACACGTGTCACAATTTGATTTGTCCAAAATTAAAAAAAAAGTTAAATACAAAAAAGTAAAAACAAATAATAAAAAATAAAAAAAAAACCAACACCACCTAAGCCACACCACAACCACCACCATCCCCACCCAAACATCAGAACCACCACCCCACCTAGACCCAAAACCATCGCCACCCAGAAACCGACCGGGATCCCCCCTAGCCAACCCAACCCCAAAACCACCTTCGAAAAATCAAAAACTTATCAAACCCAAAATCACCTTCGATAAATCGAAAACCCACCAAATCGGCCTGAATCAAGCCCGGGGAAAGGGGAGGGAGGCCGGGATCGGGACGGAGGAAGGGGAGAGCTTCCGGGATCGGAACGGGGGAAGGGGAGGGGAGTGGGATGGTTGGTTTTCGAGGGTTTTTGTGACGGTGGAAGGGAGGTTGGTGGTTCAAGGGAGGCGGAGAGAGGACGTCGGGCGCTGGGGGAGTCGATCTGGGCGGGGGACTTCTGCGGCAATGCCGGCGGGAACGGGTGGCAGGGAGGGTGGCTAGGTTTGGTGGGTGGTTTTTTCAATTATTCAAATAACTTTTTTTTTCTTAAAAAAATTAAACTTTTTTAATTTTTTTTTATTTTTTTAACCAATCACAGGCCGACACGTGTTTGGTAACTTGTCATAACAAGATACATGAGCGGTTGGGACCATTAGAAGTAGATTGGGTATAAAGGTGGGATTATTTAAAAATATCCCAAAGGTGGAATTATTTTTCGCGGACGCACCAAAGGTAGAATTATTCCCAACAATTTTTCCATTCAATTACTAAATGTTCATTTTTTTTTCCTAGTAAATGTTCATTTTTATTGGGGAGGACCAGCCACTTTTCAATATGTTCAATTACTAAATGTTCATTTTTGTTATAGTAAATGTCCATTTCTAGCCGCGTTGGACAGGTTAGCTTAAAATTTGTGCGTAAAAAGTGACGGACTTATTGGGCTAAAGCAGGCTTCTAGGCTGGATATGGAATTTAACTAAAAAGGTGGTTATTGACTTACCTAAACCTACCCTTTTTTGGACCAGACCGTAGTTGATTACTCAAAGTAATTATTAAATGATGGTCAAAGCAAAGTGTAAAAAATGTTGAAAATCAAAATAAAACAATTGACAAAAGAGGAACCGAGGCAGTATTATTTCTGCTTAAGAAAGTTCATCTAAGAAAAAGAGAAAATGTAAAAATGCAAGTGTACGAAAAATATGGATGAAGTAATAGAGAGACTGAGGAGAGTAAGATCAGTGGAAAGCTATAGCTGATTTTGTTAAAAATAGAATAGTAAAACTAAAAAGAATTAAAAAAAAAAAAAATTATTTTGAGCTTTTGGAAATAGAGGTACAGAATAATACTTGTAAACCCTTCAACAATTAGGGAGTTATATTACTTATACTTCGTATATTAGTTGCCTAAAGGTTAGTAATTTTGACAATATAGTCTTTAAGAAAAAAGAAAATTGATGTTGAGTCGGAAGAGAGGAAAAAAATAAAGTCATTCTGGAAAATGAGTGTATAGTAGCATAATGTTTCTATAGATATCTTGTCAAACTCGGAGTATAGAACAACAAAAAAAATGACCTTATTTTAACCTATAAATATGACAATGCAAAGTATAATTCAACTAACTAATGATAATGAAGATTGAAGAGTAAATCATGCTTAGTAACAAAATAAGAAACTCTTTGTAGTGTAAAACAATTGCTTCTTTTATCCAATCTTTCTTTGCCTTTGGTTCTCTATTAATCAATGTGTGGATGATTTGGTCCAACCAGCGATAATGGTTTACGCCACAAGCATTGTCTATCCTTATATGCCAGTAAGAAACAATGACTTGAAATAGCAAAAAAAGGAAGAGGGTAGCTCTTCCTTAAAGATATTGCATAAGAAAAACCATGGATGATGTACAGAGAAGAATTTAAGTGAGGTTGAAATTGAATAAAACCCCCCCAAAAAAAAGGCTCAATTCTAGAAACGCTTGCATGCCTGGATGCCTTGCATCTCAAATTCTAGTGTTTCGTGAACAAAAATGCCACCATTAATCTAAGTAAACACAAAAATATCTAACAAAGGTAACCTGGATGAAATGTGGAGGAAGGATTTACTATCCATCACGCTGTACTCTAAAACAGCATGATCATGATCTCATAACAGTCCGTTGATTACGTTGCAGCTAGTTCAAAGTCCAGTCAGTTGTAGAGAAGTTTGTTCTGTCACTATCATCCGCTCTTAAGCTGGATTATTACAGTTCTGACATCGAGGTAATCTAGGCTGATCCCATTATATGCCTGAACAATAATGATGTCAGGATGTTTGATGTTTACAATAGAGTCGTAGAGGTTGAATGGTAAAAGGCACATCAATCATTTAAGACTTCTCAAAGTAAACACCTTGGTGAAGTGCAATATCAATGAAAAAATGAAACCAAAATTGTACTAGGGAGAAAGAGAAAAGCAGGAAACTCCAATGGAACTAGGAATATTTCTAGCAAATACAAGAATCAAATTTCAATGCAACCACAAGGTATCATAACATGTATACAAGAAATTTTATATGTGCCAGAGTTTTCGCCATTGTTATTGAAGTGCACAAATAAACGTAATATTCATAAACTGTTGCTAATGTCAACCTATCAGAAGAGTTGAGAGTTTACCCTTATAAATAAGAAACACCTCCATCCCCCGCATTAGTTTCAAAGTCGGCTCCTCCCTCCACCTCCTAATGCATCTCCAGGGCCCCTCCTCCTATGGCAATGAACCAATTATTTAGGAAAAAAAAAAAGTGTCTGAAAATATAATAGAGGATACTACAACCTGTATAGCACAATTGACAACAAATACTTCAACACAGCCATACTTATTTCAAAACAAAATCACAAGGGATTTATGTGGATGGAAAGGAGAAAACTATCCTCCAAATAGAAGTTTCAAAATCACAGGGGCTTCATGTAGTACATTCTTATTTATTCCTCGGCAGCTCTTAGCATGAATACAATAGGCCACAGTTCAGGCAAGTTGGGTTATGTAGCTAAAACCTAGACTAATCTTCCTCACATGCATTTTTCCCACCATAGTTATATAACAAAGGATCCATGATAACAAGAACAAGAAACATCATACTCATGTGCAAATGTTAAACAACATACCGTCATACCTATAATAAAATATACTCAATTCTGATCTGAACTCTCTGCATCTTGCAACAATTGGCTCTTCTTGGGCTTTTGGTACCAGAAATACATCATTAGAAAAACCCTTAAAAGTCCTCCATTTGCAAAATGAGGGATAAACATTCGGCCCCAGTATGGGTAGTATGGCCCAGGCAACTTAAGAAGAACAAGAAGAATAGCAATTGCAATCATATGCCAAGGAACGTCAGCATTCTGTTGATCCAATATTGAAATGATTAGAGACAAATGAATAAATCATATTGCGCATGCTCAAATCTTAATGAAAAATGTCTTTATAAACGACCTTGGTAAGAGGAGATAGTTCTTGTGCTGTCTCTTTCAAGATCCCAGCAACAGCAAACCCAAGAACCAATGGAATAGGAACAAGAAACAGTTTCCTTTCATGTGCACAGTAGGACATCTCACTGAGGGAGGAAACAGCCAGCATAGGAGCACTTAAGTATTTGACAACAGCAATTGCAACATCCAGAATAAGTTGAATAAAACTATCTAGCACTCTGTTCCAAGGGAAGTTCTTGATTGGTTTGGGAAGGCCATTCCAAACTTCTCTGGTCTTGTCCATCATCCGGTCCAAGTTTAATTTCCCCTGATTATCAGAGGAATGTCCATCTGCCATGCCTACAGAGCATGAGAAGCTTGACTTTGTATTCTGAACTACAAGACCTGCTTTATAAGCTATAAAGCTGCCTTTTCCGTTTACAGAATCTGGTCGAAAGAAAGGCTGGCACCCACTTGATCGATGTGAAATACCCTGAAAAAGGCAAAGACCTTTCACTTAATTTTGAAGAAAACAAACTATGCTGAAGAGCTGAAAAGAAAAGAAAAAAAAATCAGAGGTTGCGATGCCGGATGCTAACAATTTTTTTAAAAAAAAATAAATAAGGTTAGAGATCTTCCCACCATGTGATACAAAAAATTCCTTGAACAAATTGTTCCAAAGGAAATCAAGTCAACAACATATATAGCTGAACCAAACAGGCACTCATAGCATTTCTATATCCCTATCGATAAAAGATTACCTATATCCAGATTTCGGGCAATAAGGTCCTACAATAGCCAATGAAATAAGGATTTAAAACTCCAACACATCAACGAAACTAGTTTAACATTTTGCATATTGCACAGTAATATTGTGAAATTTCTAAACGATAATGTCGTGCAACCTCTTTCGTTTTAGTGACACCATTAAACAACAATATTACTACATTACTTATCAAACCATTTAACAAATCAGAATTCCAAAGTGTCAAAAAACTCGGTAATTTCTTCACGTTTCACCTTAAAGCTCGGGAAAAAAAATATTGTTTGTTCAAACAAAACAGAAAGCTTAAAGGAGGAAAAGAAAGAAAACAAACACATTTTTCCCTTTGCAACATGGAAACAGAGTTACCAACTTTTATATTCCATGTTAATAACATTTTCAAAACTTGCACATATCATGATCGCATTCAGGAAGTAATACACCAAACAAGATACTTGGAGGTAGAATAACTAATTCTCTCCTTTGGGGGGAGGAAAAACATAAAAGGTAAAGAAATACAAGATGCTTACTTGCTGATTTAAATATGGGTGGAGGAGGGGTGAGGAGCAGGACACCGCCATAGCTGGTGACATCGCTGCTTTCTCTTTCTGTAAGCTTCAAAAAAATTGTCACAAAAATACACTTCAAATGATATACAATTCCAGAGGATAAATGTTAAAAAAGCAAGAAAATCAGATTAAGCTATCAAGACAGAAAATAAAACCAGGCAGACAAAAGCAAATTCAGGCCCGTCCCTGAGGCAGGGCAGGGGGGGCGGCCGCCCTAGGCCCAGGGAAAAGAGATTTGATTTCATATTGAATTTTCTCCAAAATTACATAATTTTAGGGATATTTGATTCAATAATCAAATTACGCTCATAATTTTCTTTTCTTTTGGATATGATGTTTCATAATCTAAGAATTTACGAACCCTAAACTTAAAGTACTGATAATTAAATTAGATTAGATCAAATATAAACCCTAGAATGTGAAACTGATATGATGATAACAACAACAAACAACTTACCTTAGAAGCTGCTTCAATGGGGGATACAAGAATTAGATTCAACGGAGAACGCTTCAATGGAGAACGTTGAGTGCAGTTCAATGAAATAACTCAGAGAGGTAGGAAATAGGAATGGAGGCCTTTAAAAGCCATGACCCGCTATAGTTATAATATGGGTCAGATCCGTCTGATAAATAAATGGGGCGGGTTTTTATATGATCGTCTAAATATGAGATAGGTGGGCTTTATAAAGGTTTTATGTAAAGATGTTTTAAATATTTTTAATTATTTCCATACACCAAAACTTGTATCAATTCGTTGTAAGTTTTTAAGTTTTTTTTAAAAAAAAAACAAAAACAGTTGAAATTACATTAATTAAACTGAGTTTACAACAAACAAAATGGCAGTAAGTAACATAAGTACTATTGGCATAAGAAGCCCTTACACAATATCAATTAAGGGCATTAACAATATTTACCTTTTAGCTATTACAACGAGTGAGGACAACGCATATAGGGCTTACCAATATACATATAAACATGCGATGAGACTATTGATAGAATGAGGGAAGTTGGTGATGATGTTTTGTGTTGTGCAAGGTATTTTCTAACATACAATTAAAAGTCTATGAATGTTGCTAAATAACGGAGACAACCCAAAATCAGCATGTCTTACCCTAAGGAATCCCAATAATTCAAATGGATAAAAAAAATCCTCTAAATCTATGCTTCATACATGTCAATCACATTTCTTTATGACCTGACAAAACCATATCTTATACTCCCTCCGTCCCATAATATAGTTCTTATTGTATTTTTTTCACGGTATTTAAGAAATGAGAGGAGAAGTGGAAAAAAACTAGACAAAAGTACAAGACGAGTGGATAATTTAAGGGGAAAAAAGTAAAAAAGTACAATTATAGACAAAAGTTAGAGAGAGAAATTGAAAAAAGTACAATGAAAGTGGATAAGTTAAGGGTAAATTAAGAAGTTCAATGAATAAAGTAAAAAAATAAGGGTATAATGGTTACAAAAATAGAAACAGGAACAACATTTTGGGTCTCTAAAATAGGAAAACAAAAACTAATTGTGGGACAGAGGGAGTATATATTCTCATACAAGGTCATGATGTTGTAATGACTTTTACCGATATCACATACAAATGGGTTAAACAACACCTACTACGGGTTTATGTAAATCTGAAATTGAAATTTTGCTACATCTCCCAACAAACATAAGTAACACCACTTCCATTAAAGGAACACATTTTTATTAAAACTAAAGATATTAAAAAGGGCGATTCCAAGAGTCAAACGACTTCATTTCATCCTCGCTCCAATTAACCCTAAATTCGACTTGTCTTCGCTTTTCGATCTATTATATTGGGTGCTTCCAAAATCTAAGTTTTATTTTTTAGAAAAATGCACTTTAATTTATTAATCCGAACTTTCAGTGATTTACTCTCAATAATCCCAACTTACATTTATTAGGGAGCACTATGAACTTTTGGGTTGATTTTCTTCCACTAGGCCGATTTACCAGTGACTTCAAGAAAGGGTTATTTTTATTTTGTAAAAGCCATGTGTGATGTGTCGCAACATAGTTGGTCCAAATTTTTTTTGTAAAAAAAGAAAAAAAAAATTAAAAACCCTTCCCAGCCAGCCACCATCCTTCCTCCCCTTAGCCCCAACCCCCAGCCCGACCGAAATTCGACCGCACGCCTCCCCTAGCAACCGATAACTGCCGGTCGGCCCTTCCCTACCCCTAAAAACACTCGGGCAACCCACCTACACCATCGAAACCACCCCCTTCCCCCATCCCCAAAATAGCCCCTCCCTTCTCAAGTCGATGAAACCGCCCCTCCTCCTTTCCCTTGTTGTTGAAACGGCCGATTTTTTAGCTCCCTCTATTGGAGACTATTGCCAAGAAATTAAATATAGTTTTGTTACTCAAGGTTTTTGTGGTAGATTTTTTTAGATTTTTTTTTTTTACAAAAAAAATAAATAAATAAATGGTAGTTAGTTGTTCTCAAAGTAGTCATTATAATGGTAGTTGTTGGTAAAATTTTCTTAAATTTCACAAAATTACCATATATCTAAAGTATAATACCCTCTCTTCTCACATTTTATTAGATACGTTTTGACTTTTATACGTTTGTCAATACACCTATTTGATTATTATTCATTACATACTTTTCAAAATATAACGATTGAATATTAATAGAGCATTCGTTGAGACGAATCAAACATGATCTCACATAACTCTTTTACTTTTGTGAGTAAATTTGAAGATTATCTAATACTCCCTCTATCCCAGAATACATGACACAATCAACATTGCACACATGTCAATGCACTACTTTGAATTTATTTGTATATAATTAAATATTATGAAAATTATTTTTAAAATTGTATTTTGAGTATATATATATATATATATATATATATATATATATATATATATAACAACTATTTTATGATAAAATATGTTTTTATTATGTTGATAAAAAATTATGATCAAAACTAATACATGAATAGTGAAAAAAGTCCAATGTTTCATATATTTTGGGACGGAGGGAGTATTATGAATAATGTTTAAAATATAAACATAACCAATAAAAAGAAACGGAGGAAGTATTATAAATAATATTTAAAATCTGATAATAACCAATAAAAAGAAATGGAGGGGTACCCTACAAAATTAATCATTCTAAAGCTTTTGTCAAAAAAAAAAAAAAACAAAATCATCCTAAAGTAATTGAAATACTTTAATATACATTTTGTTGATACATAAAATTATTTTACTTTTAATAATTTTAATCATATATTTATTATAATTAGTTGATACTATGAAATTTTATACATTATAAATTCAGTCAATCTCCTAAAAAATTATGCCGATTAAAGTGATGCGCACTTTAAAAAATGGAGGGATTATTTTTCTTGCATTAAATGTCTTAATTTATTATAAAATGATGGGAAATTATCAATGATACCCCACAGGTATTGGCTTTTATCAATGATACACATCATTAAACTTTCATTTTCACCGGTACACCTAAACTTTTCCCTAAATACCTACCGTGACCTTGACCGTTAACTAAACGTTAATGAAGCTCTGTTCAGCGTTTTAAAGGTTAATTTCCCTCATTTAGTTTCCCTCCAAATTTCCCTTCCATTTTCTATAATATTGCAGTTTTTTCTGAAGCAAGTTCAGATGATGCTTCAGTTATGTTAGCTTTGAGGAAGAACTTGAATAACCCACCCGAATCACTTGGATGGTCCGACCCAGATCCCTGTAAATGGACCCATGTGGGTTGTAACCAGGAAAAAAAAGTGACCCGGATTCAAATTGGGCACCAGAACCTGGAAGGTACTCTTCCTGCTAGTCTTTCTTCTTTAACTTCTCTTGAAAGGTTAGAAGTTCAATGGAATAAATTTTCAGGCCCTTTTCCTAGTTTAAGTGGATTAAGTTCATTGCAAGTTTTAATGATTAGTAATAATAATTTTAGTTCAATTCCTAGTGATTTGTTTACTGGGTTGTCTGTATTTCAGTCTGTTGATCTTGATAATAACCCTTTTGAGGGTTGGGAAATTCCTGAATCCTTGAAAGATGCTTCAACACTTCAGAATTTTTCTGCTAATTCTAATGTGACTGGGGTAATACCTGATTTTTTCGGGCCGGATTCGTTTCCGGGTTTGGTGCATTTGCATTTGAGCTTTAATAGTTTGGAAGGAGGATTGCCTAGGAGCTTTGATGGGTTTCAAATTTAGTCATTTTGGGTTAATGGGCAGAAAAGTGTTGGCAGGCTTAATGGGAGGATTGATGTGATTCAGAACATGACTGCTTTGAAGGAAGTTTGGTTGCATCAGAATGCATTTTACGGTCCATTTCCTGATTTTTCAGGATTGAAGGATCTTTAGGTGTTGAGCCTTAGGGATAATAAGTTTACTGGAGTTATTCCGCCGTCTTTGATGAGTTTAGAGTCTCTAGCTGTTGTGAACTTGACCAATAACATGCTTCAAGGGCCAATGCCAGTGTTTAAGGACTCGGTTGATGTGGATTCATTAACGTTTAGTTAACGATCAAGGTCACGGTAGGTATTTAGGGAATAGTTTAGGTGTACCGGTGATAATGAAAGTTTAATGATGTGTATAATTGATAGAAGTCAAAACCTGGGGGGTATCATTGATAATTTCCCCAAAATGATTTATTATAATTGTAGTTAAATAAAGATATCTTAATGAATGTTATTTTTTTATAGTAATAATTTATATCAAAATTATCAAAATCGAGATTCCACTTTGAATTGGAAGGGATTTAGATGTGTATGTGTTACTGATGATAGTAGTCGTTTCAGAAGTTTTCCTACAAGTTTTTATTTCTCACATGAGAAGGTTTTTTCTTGTTTTAGGCTTACAATATTTTAATTATGCAATTTTATTTTGACAATAATTATTTTTACGATATAGGAGAATTCGAGTGAGATGATTTTTAGTTGTTGCGACTATTCACCATAATTTTATTTGGTAAGTATGCATGTATGAATTTTTTAATATTCGCATAGTATCATATTAGATATTTTATATACTTTGAAAATTGAAGTGACATCATTATAAGAAGATTATGATTCTTGGATTGTTTGATAAATTCTATTTAATGACTTGTTTACAAGCATGATAAGAAGTGATGATTTAACTATGACATGATACATTTATTAAAAGTGAACTTAATCACGTAATTATATAATTATTAGTAACAAGAAAAAATTAATGTAGCTTTAAATTTTATAAGAAAGAGCTACATTTATTATTTATGAAACATGATTATTATTTATTTTTCACTTATATTTATAGATTGGGACAAGTAAGTAAATTTAATACTCTTTCATAGAATGAGTCAAGTCAAAGAAAGATTCCAATATAGAAGTGTAATTATGCACATTTTGTGTGTGTTATAACCATGTAATAAATTGATTAATCACGAAATTAAGGGGCGAATGTAATAAATTATTACATATAACTATTTAAAAATATGATATTCTAACGAATAAATCATAAAAAAATTCAAAAGAGGTGTGTGAATAGGAAAAGTGTAAATAAAGCAATTAAAATAACGGATGAAGTAATTAACAAATTACATAAAATTATTTATTAA